TCGTCGGCCGTTCGTCTTACCAGGCAGTAGAAGTGCTGCGAGTAAGAAGGCTATAAGCTAGAGTGCTAAGAATAGAAAGTTGTTAACCCTTTACAATGAAATAAATGCTGCTATTTATACTACCAATGGGCTGTTGGCTATACTGACGTGGAGGATTGTGAATGGCTGGCGCTCCCACCACCAAATCTTCAGCATTAAATGCGCTTCCCGCCAGGATCTGGGTTTCCCGCCTAATTGGTGGGGACGTTCGTCCAGATGGGGGAGGTGAGTTGCTCCTGGTGATATCGCAAAGGGCATCAGGCCGTTCGTATCCTGGTCCTTGGATGATTTGCCATGTGGACTGGGTTGCCTCCCGTGGTTATGGGATTGATCCGGCGACGTTCGTCGCCATCCTTGTGGCCTGTGGGCCTGATTTACTGCCAACTTGTGCGGATGTTCGTCGGGGTGGGCTGATAAGCCAAGGTCTTGGTTACGACGTTCGTCTTTGCCAATTCCCCTGTTGACTTAGCCCACCCAGAAACCTGCCTGGACGTTCGTCCGAAATGGGGGGTAAATGGGCCGGCCCCTGTTTGGGCCATTAACCCAACACAAGTCCCCCACTTCTGATGTTCTGAGCATGCACAGGACATAAAGAAGTATAATGCTCCCCATGGGTAAGAAGCTCATGGCGTGGCACTTGTGTTTGTCGCGTCAGGGAAGGAGGACGTTCCCTGACTCCCGTATCTGCCAGAAGTTCCCAAGCTATACTCTTTGTTGCAATGATTGCAACTTGCTTACCTTTTTTCGGTATTTTTGTCTTTCCTTTTTGTAAAATTGTTTTCAATAATAGGAGATTTAGATTTCTTACCAGTTTGGGTTGAACCGCCCTTGTCCTCCAACTCTTGCTCATCATCTGGGGTGCCGTGAGTCCGGTCGCCCCCCGCGTCCTCCTCCGCATCGTCATCCTCGAGCTCCTCTTCATCAATGGTTGTCGGGAATTGTTGTTCTTGTGCAAAGCGTGGATCATTTTGTTAGAATAGGTTTTGTAGTTGCTCGTCGGACATCATCATATCATCTCTCCGTTGGTAATCCGTTTCAAAGTCATCTCGACTTTGAAAAGAAGACTCGGCCCGCGCTTTACCTTTGCCTTTGCGTGAAGTAGGACGAGTCGACGCAATCTCCCTCTTGCGGTTGCGTTGGAGATTACCCACATCTACAGAATGTCTACCACGCTCCATCTTTAAAATTGAACAAATATTAAATGATATCAAATATTTTATATGAGGTTAACTAATATTAATATGACAAATGTAAAAATTAACTAGTTTTTTTTAACTTTAATGAGAAATGTAGCAAGTAACTAATATTAATATGAGAAATGTAACTATTAACTAGTCTAACTAATATTAATATGATAAATGTAAAAATTAACTAGTTTTTTTACTTTAATGAGCAATGTAGCAATTAACTAATATTAATATGACAAATGTAACAATTAACTACTTTAACTAGTTTTTAAAATGACAAATGTAAAAATTTACTAGTTCGTTTTACCTTAATGAGAAATGTATACTTTAACTAATATTAATATAAGTATATGACAAATGTAACAATTAACTACTTTAACTAATATCTAGTTGACAAATGTAAAAATTTACTACTTTTTTTACTTAAATGAGAAATGTAGCAAGTAACTAATATTAATATGAGTAACTAATATTAATATGAGAAATGTAACAATTAACTAGTTTAACTAATATTAATATGACAAATGTAAAAATTAACTAGTTTTTTTTTACTTTAATGAGCAATGTAGCAATTAACTAATATTAATATGACAAATGTAACAATTAACTACTTTAACTAATATTAATATGACAAATGTAAAAACTTACTACTTTTTTTACTTTAATGAGGAATGTAGCAATTAAATAAGTAACTAGTTTAACTAATGTTAAATGATAAATGATATGTAACAAGTAACTATTTTTTTTCTTTAAAGAGAAATGTAAAGAAATGTAACAATTAACTAATTTAATAGATAAATGACAAGTCTAACAATTAACTACTTTAATAAATAAATATGAATGTGTATAAGTATATATAGTATATATGATGTGTAAATATATTATAAGTAATATATAATATAATGTTTATAGTATATAATATATAAGTATATTATTTACTATAAGATGAGTAATACACTTATACTTAATACTTTAATATATATATATATATATATATAAGTATATATTAACTAAATGTAATATGTAAATATAAGTAAACAACAATAGTATGGATAAAAACTAAATATCAAATAAATATGAATGTGTATAAGTATATATAGTATATATAATGTGTAAATATATTATAAGTAATATATAATATAATGTTTATAGTATATAATATATAAGTATATTACTATAAGATGAGTAATACACTTATACTTAATACTTTAATATATATATATATATATAAGTATATATTAACTAAATGTAATATGGAAATATAAGTAAATAACAATAGTATGGATAATAACTAAATATCAAGTAAATATGAATGTGTATAACTATATATAGTATATATAATGTGTAAAGAATTATAATATGAATGTGTATAAGTATATATTTATAAGTAGATAATTAATATATAAGTAGATATAATAACTATATAAATTATATATATGTAGAAAGAATTTGGAGAAGATGAAGAATGAAGATGATTGAATATGAGAGATTGAGAGAATAGGGAATTAGAGACTAGGAAGAGTTGTAGAAGTAGAGGTGTAAAAAATGTATAGAAAATAGGAGTATAAATAGGTTTTTTTGTATACCCCACCCCCACCCCACCCCCCAGACCCCCCCTCCTATGCTCCCAATGGCTATCGAGCCGTTTGGGAGCTCTCCCAACGGCTATTAGAGCCTTTACCAATTTATTTATTTTTTTTTAAAAAAAGTGACCGTTGAGGCCCGGACCGGGCCCGGCCGGGCCGGTTCACTATATAGCAGGCCCGGGCCCGGACCGCTTTCTCACCGGGCCGGGTGGCCCGAACCGGGCACTAACCGGTTCACCGGGCCGGTCTGGGCCCGCACAGTAGCGGGCCGATCCGGTTCCGGGCCGGTTGGCCCGGCCCGAGTCCACCCCTAACTAAAAGAGGGATCACGCATTGACACGGCCTATCTCTAATCTCTATACTAAAGGGGGTGTTCCCAGTCTAGATTTTGAATGATTTTAAATGACTATAGATTCTACCGATTCTAATAAAATTCCATAGACTCCATCTTGTGGAATTCTATATCGTAGAAGTATATGGATTTTAAAGGATTTCTGACTCCATTTTCTTAGCCCGCTTTCTTTGTCAAGAACATACCCCACTAGCGAATTCACACGGACTACGTAATTCTTAAATGCTCTGCCTAAAAAGAAATGCAAATAGAGACTCATTACAGTTGAACAAAAGCTTCAATTATTTGTGTATAAAGATAGAAATACACCACTTGAGTTGTATGACTCAAGTGTTCTCCAACCTTATAACCAGCACCTGTGTTCAACAGGGGCAGAGCCAGGATGTGAGGGTGGGGGGGGGGGGCAAAATGCTATTACATAATATACTCTTCTTAAAGTTTATTAAATTATTATCCCAATTTTTTCTTATAACTCTTTTATATTAGATACTTTAAGACGGAGATCTCCAATACTACTCCATAATATGTTATTAATAATATATTTTTACATGCAGAGTACCAAGTAATATTTATGAGGTAATAATCACCTCTTCAAAGTATAGTGTTGTTATAGATTAATATTTTCCAAAATGACTACTTCTAGAATATATAGTGTTCTTATACATACGATATTTTAATGAAGTATTGAAAAATTATAAATGTAGTACAAAGTATAGACTATAAACATAAACATATTTTTTGAATTACTATACTATTAGAGGAAATACAGATTTAGGGGAGGGGGGCAAAAAAAAGATATTACAAGCCATTAATTCAAAAAATAAGAATGTTGGGAGGGGCAAAGGCCCCCTTAGACATAAACATAGTTCCGTCCCTGGTGTTCAATTAGATGCTCTGCATATGCAAATTTCAAGCCAAAGTACTTTCCACGCAACTCATGGAAATAAAAGAATCATATTCTATCTTGGACTGAGAGATTATGAATTATTATATAAAGAAGTAAGGGCCCGTTTGGTAAGGTGTAAAGTAAACATTTTGCATGCAAAGTGTGGGGAAGTAAACATTTTACACTGTTTGTTTCAATCATTTGATGTAAACTGTAGGACACCTTTTTTTAAAATATTTTACATTGTACCATGTAAAATATTTTACGTGGGGTGGTAAACTACTGTACATCAGCTAATACCGATTATTAAATGGGCATTATATCAAAGTATAATGATTTGAAAAAATTAAAAACACATCGGGCCTTAGATATACATCTTAAAAATCTTAGTATATTTGGAAGATGATAATAGGGAACTAGTCCGTATAATAATAGTTTTACTGTACTAGAATGTATGAATTGTGAGAAGGAATAATATAATTAATTAATAATTAACAACTCTTTGATAAAAATCTTACTTGTAAAAAGGTACAAGAATTGACGAGCCTTCCGGAGAAGCAACTAGCCGCAGTGGCAGATTGAAGGTCAAGTGTCCCAACCCTGGGAGGTTTTTATTTTTTGAAATTTCCAACCAAGTGCACATAGTCACTACACCCCAACAAAGCAATAGTCTTTAGTCACTAAAAAAAGTTTCTTCATTAATAGGTTGAAGAACAAAATGTTTTTATTTTTCATATTCTAATATAAATGTTTAGACTTTTAATTTGAGGGGCGGAGAAAATGAAATTATTAACGGCGGCATTTTAATTTTTTGACATTTCCTAAAATACTACTAATCGATTTTTTATGCGGTATTTTTAGTTTTCATTATTAATTGTAATGCTCAAATCTCATTTACATTATACGATAGTATTTAGAAGTTGAATAAAATGAAATAAACTAGTGCATCCGTCAACAAAGCTGCTCGCTCCTATTCCCACTACTACAGTCCTACATACACCCCCACCCCCACTCCCACTCCCACAGAATGAACCTCAAGATCATTTCCTTCGTTTCCTTTCCTTCCGAAGAATTATACGGACATGCCGGAGAGAGCATCTGCTATCTCATCCTCAACTACCTCAGTCAGATCGACATTACTATTACGCTTCTTGGCCGGGAGAAGCGATACCGGCGGACCACCACCTCAGCTCATCGATCCGGCGGCGGCGGTTTAGCGGATGACATTTCTTCTCGTCAGCCTTGGTGGAGGAGGCCGGCCAGGGCCAGACAGAGAGGGAGGAGCTGTTGCTGTGCTTACGGGAAGAAGAGAAGACAAGATGCAGTAAGTATTCATTATTCATTTTTCATTTTTGTTAAACACCGATCCCACACCGATCCAGATTTCATTTTTCATTTTTCCCACATCGATCCCGTTGTCCGAGCGATTCCTTGGGAGTCTCTATAAATACGAGAGTACAGTGACTCACTAGCTCACCCTTCGGGACTAATCCCGCTGGGTTGGGCTGGCCACCCTTTGGGGCCGGCCCCGGCTCCCCCTTTGGGGGCCATTAGTCTTAGGTAGGTTAGTTTAGGTTAGCGCTAGGCTAGGCTAGGCTAGTTTTAGATAGATTAGGGCTAGGCTAGGCTAGGGCTAGGCTAGTTTTAGATAGATTAGGGCTAGGCTAGGCTAGGTTTAGGGCGGTGGGGCGCCATGCTGCCTCCATGCCGTCCTAAGCCGCCCGGGGGGCGTTATGCTGCCTCGGTGGCGCCGTGTGGCGCCAAACCTCCCCAGGGGGGTAGGGGGGGGGCAGGAGTCGAGGGGGAAGGGGGAAAAGGGAGAGGGGGAAAAGGGAGAGGGGGGAAAAGGGAGAGGGGAAAGGAAAGAGGGGGGGTCGAGGGGGAAGGGGGAAAAGGGAGAGGGGAAAGGAAAGAGGCGGGGTCGAAGGGAAGAAAGAAGGGGATATATGCTCATAGAAAAAACTAAGCGGTTTATATGCTCATAGAAAATCGTTGTAGTCAAACTAAGAACTATATACATACGTCTATAAGTCTATATACATACGTCTATAAGTCTATATACATACGTCTAAGAACTATATACATACGTCTATATTTCTGGAAAAAAATGGGTCCTGATACTAACACCAATAACCTTTTTTATTTTCATAATAGTAACATGGATAACCTTTTTATACTTGAAGTATAGGGTTATTTTAGTCAATTCAACAAAAACACTTCCTCTCATTTTATTCTCTCTCCCAAACAAGTTTATTTTTCACACCAACACTTGCCCTCCCTTCCTTTACCTCCCTTCCTGGAACCAAAGTGTATTTACACTTTTTAGTAGTTAAATGAGGCATTATAACAAGCCTATGCTTGCTTCATTCTTAGTTTGCGCATACAGCCGTATCAAGTTTTATGAATATGTTTTGTAAAGTTTATTGGCAGGGCAATAAACAAGAGTATGTACAGAGAGTTTATGAATACCGTGTAGTTTATTTGCATTTTATGACAATTTTTCAGTGAGTTTATGTACATCTTTCAACTAATCCTATTTGGAGTCCAGTGAGTTTGACAAACCAACTTACCGAAGATATAACTGGTAGAAGATTACAACCTAACTTTACACAGAATCTGAAAATGCGAATTAACTAAAAAAGTACACATACTACATTAATGAAAAATTCAAGAAAATAACATGTGCACGTATGAAGTATAAGGTTATTTTAGTCAATATTCTACAAAAACACTTCCTTTGATAATTCTTCACTTTTCCTTACCATCCTTACTTTCTAACACTCCCGTTACTAACTTACTAGTTTGTGAGGTGTTTCACATGCAGCCACATTAAGTTTTATGAATATATTGTGTAGTAAAGCTTATTTGCATTTTACGACTAGTGTTATAGCTAATCCTATTTGCAGTCCAGTGAGTTTAACAAACCAACATACCAACTAATAGTTATATTAAAGATATATAACTGGTAGAAGTTCACCAGAGCAGTTAATATGTTTACCACTGTTAATGAAAATACAAGACAATACAACAATCAAACAATTGTCATGCTTCAACTTCTTGGAGCTGACGGCCGGATTGAGAACGAATTGAGGTTGCTGAAATTGGTACTCCTTTACCCGAAGCACTTCTTCCAGTTTATGCAGTTTGAATTTTGAGCGAAAGGGTGCGGGCAAAAATAGGGTTCTTGGACGGGGCAACAATAGGGTTCTTCCAGTTCCTCCTGTCTTGTTTCCTCGTTTGTTTTCAGAAAACTAACGGGGCAACACGTTTAAACCCATTCAGTTAGTCAGTGTCCAAAAATGATCCTTAAAGGTGAATTATGATGGATTTATTTGGTCTATTTAAGAGGTTAGTTTCCACTTTGAGCTCTCTAAATGACCCAAGTGTCCATTTTGGTCTTTCTAACTCTAGAAAATCTGACCAGTACGTTAAACATCATCCTGCTTTTGGCTCACCTAATCTGTCTTCTTTCACCTCTAGTCTGCCTTTCTTGACCTTTAGTGTAACTCTAATATGTATAACACACATGGAAACAGCCATCCTTTCTTCCTCAATATCATCATCATCATCATCATAGTTTTTCCTTTCTTAACTATATATAGCCAGTTAGCCACTTTCCAGGAAAAAAGTAAAACCCTTGTTCGCAGTAGCACCAAGCCTGGTCTTTAATTTATTTACTCCAAAGCTGATTGTTTATTCTCAAGCCCCTCATGTTGCTAGTGCGGTTGTGTTTGAGTTCTATTGACTGTTTTGGTTTCGATTTCCAATCAGCGTTGTTGAACTTCCTGTTTTAACTTTCATACATAATTAAGTATTTTGGGTTAACAGCTATAACAAATTACAATTAACAACAGTAGGGGATATGTATACATTGTCAAGGCCTATTTCATAATTCTAGTGTAATGTATGGATATGCTGCGTATCAAATAAAAGAGTTCTATTTGTTGTGAATTACCTTTATTATCAATAATTTTCTAATGTTTGTATTCTGAATCAGGCATGCTAGCCTACTAGGCTATGCCTTTTATATATTTTAAGCATGGTGTAATACCTCAAAGTGACTATAGGATAGTTGTTACTTGTTTTGCTTAAATCTGTTCTTATGTCTTGCATTACATTTTCTCCAAATTACATTTCTTTGGTTTCTCTCATGCTTCAAAATCTGAGAGGAGACTTTACTTTTGAAGATGTGATAAAGATATGTGTTAAACCAGCGTTAAAACTTTTTGGTTTTCCTTTTGGTTCTCTCTTCTGATAAATATAGTTCTTTGCTTTTCTATTTGGTTGTTTCTTATGTTGCTGCAAAGTATTAGTAATGCCAAACTCATATCTCTCGGGGTTTTCAGATTGTTTAGGCAGAAGACTGGGCCCAAAGCTTCTTGGAAGAACTGATGATTCAGGGGTAGTTTATAGTTTTCATTTGCATTTATTACCTTTTCCCGTGAAGACACTATTTGCAAAGTGGCTTTACTATTAGTCGTTTTCTGTAATCTGAAGCTGTCTCATTGCTCCTGTCCCACCAGAGGCTGCTTAAGGATTTCATTAAGATACTCAATCAAGTGAGATCTGAGGATGTGCCAGCAGATTTGAAGCTCCCAGATTCTTTCACTCAACTCGTCTCTGAAATGAAAAACAATAAACACAGCACAAAAGAATTTGTACTTATATTGAAGGGAATGGTATGAACGTGTGTCATTTTTTTTTCTACCTACTCTCCGGAGTGCAAATTTTTACCACAGAGTATTTCATAGTTTCAATCTCCCTCATCCCCACCCCACCCTCACCACACTCTCTCAATAGCCACTTGCCTGGACATGATTCTTTATTTTTACCAAGTGTGTGGTTCGAGGATGAGTGCAGATGAATGGGGACATTACTCTTTGCACATTATATTTTAGTTTTAGGCTTTTAGCTACAAAATGCAGAACACAGTTTTACTATTTCACGATACTGAATAGATCAATTATAATGCCTTATCTTCTTATGGGCTGTCATGTTAGTGCACAGTGAGTCAAATCAACCAATTGCAGCTCACTGATGTCCTTTAATCTTTTGGTATAGTTAAGTGAAAAGCTGGTACTTCCCATATCACATGAAATGAATGCCGCAATATGTTACGTAGTATCTTATTTGTTAATTTTAATACAGCAATTCCCAAATTTAATTTTTGCTGATTTTATTCTCATTTGCAGATGGAGAGATCTCAAAGGGAGATTAGAGAATCTAAATTTGCAGAGTTGATGAATAAACACTTTGCTGCAAGTTCAATCCCAAAGGGCATTCATTGTCTCTCACTCCGGTTAACTGATGAGTATTCATCCAATGCTAATGCACGTAAACAATTGCCTTCACCAGAGCTACTCCCTTTGCTCTCTGACAACTCCCTACACCATTTTGTATTGTCAACTGATAACATCCTAGCTGCTTCCGTGGTGGTCAATTCTGCTGTCCAGTCATCTCTTAAACCTGAAAAGATTGTTTGTCATGTCATTACTGACAAGAAGACTTATCCCGGGATGCATTCATGGTTTGCTCTAAATCCCGTCTCTCCTGCTACTGTTGAAGTAAAAGGTGTTCACCAGTTTGACTGGTTGACAAGAGAGAATATTCCAGTGCTTGAAGCTGTGGAGAGTCATAGTGTTATACGTAATTATTACCATGGGAATCATGTTGCAGGAGCCAATCTTAGTGATATTACTCCACGCTCTTTTGCCTCGAAATTGCAGACTAGAAGTCCGAAATATATATCCTTACTCAACCATCTTCGCATATATTTGCCTGAGGTATGCAGTTTTATGACAAAACTGACTACCTTTAATTTCTTTGAAGTGACTGCTTCCAAAGTAGAGGCTAAAGAGCAATTTTTTCATATCCTTTTCATAGTTCAACTTATTTAATACTTCATTTACTTCTTTACAATGAGAAAGCTAATAGTCATTTATCCTTGTATCTTGCAGCTTTTCCCAAATCTGGATAAAGTTGTTTTCTTAGATGATGATGTTGTAATTCAGCGTGATTTATCTCCACTCTGGGACATTGAACTTAAAGGAAAGGTTAATGGTGCTGTTCAGAAATTACTTCAACTTTTCTCATCCTCTAATAGCAAAGAACTTGAGCCCTGATGATTGTGCATGGGCTTATGGAATGAATATCTTTGACTTGTCTGCATGGAGAAAGACTAATATAAGAGAAACTTACCACAAATGGGTCAAAGAGGTAAATGTTATTACTCCCTACACGGCTACACCCCTAAATATAAGGAACACTTAACCTTGATGCATTTTTAATGAAAAGAGGTAAAACTGTAAAGGGTTATCTGTTTTTGGAATCTGTCATGTAAATGAACCTTAGAGTCCCACATTCCCACGGCTTCGAATATGTTCCAGTTTGATATGCATAAAATGAGATGAGCATTTGCAATGGGTTTAGAAAGCGGATCCTGAGGAGTTTTGGTATTTGTTTTTTGTGTGGTAGGGCACTAGTTATGTGTATAGGGGTATGGATATGAATTAACTTCATTGGCTCATTTTTTGTGCGTGCCTGTCAGCTGGCATCTCCTTTTCAAATTAAAAAATGCAGGTTTTAGGAAACTCAGTGAATCTTATATTTTCTAATAGAGCATATCACGCACTTCAATATGAATACTTTCAATTGTGCATATCTTATTTGTGACATATGAGAGTTTTATCATTCTGGACTAATAATTATGGTGATGCTACTCCATAAATTTAAAATCTTGAATGCCTATAATTGAGAAAACAGAAATGGTGAACTGCAAATTTACAAAGTGTTATCTTCTTATACTTATGAGCCAACCAAATTAGCTTTTATCTGAAAGTATCTCAGGATCGGTTAGAATTGACAGTATTTATGCGTGTATATGTATGTATACAGAGGGAGAGAGAGTGAGCAAGGTCGAATATACAATATAGAGCTAATGGGGGCAGATTTTTTTGTTAGTGTAGGTCTCTGCCTTTTCTATTCAAAAAAATATTTTCATTAGCATATACATGACATTTAGATGTACCACTCTAAATTTACACAATGAGAAAAGTAACTTAGATTTTATAATCGAAGTGCTTTAGAAAAAAGTATTGGTAAATTAAAGCCCAAGTTCATCCAAATTTAAGGAAAATTTATTTGATTATAAAAACATGGTTAACAGTTTTTCAATATATTTGAAGATAAAGGGTGTAACACGTACACACGTTCACCTATATATTTTAAAAGTCTTTTGCCTTCTTTAACTACATGAGTCTTATTAGAATAAAGAATCCAATTCTTGAATGTTGTAATTCATCGTACATTGTCTTAGAAAGTGGAACATACAACCAATTAAAGCTTGATGAGTACCGTACTGACTGGTGTCCGAAGCCAGACACTAATAATGGAATGACATTATATGTGAGACATTAAAATGGAATGACATAGTATGAAGCCATATAACATTTCAATCACCCTATATTCGTTCTTAGAAACAGCATTCTGTTTATGTCTAGATATTGATAAATGATAATTCATCCAAAATCTATTGAAACTGGCCCTCAGTGGATGAGCTTAGGATGTCTTTAAACATAGATGCATTATGCCTTTTTCATTTTACGTTGAGTTTAAGTTTTCCCCTGTGCATTTATTTCAAGGGTTATCATAATAACATCCAAGCGGTTAGTCAATCTTTTAAACTCTCTTTCTCTTTCTTTTGCTTTTGAAATTGTAGAATCTGAATTCAAACTTGACAATGTGGAAGCTTGGAACACTCCCGCCTGCTTTGATTGCATTCAAGAACTACATTCACCCAATTGACTCCTCTTGGCACATGCTTGGTTTAGGCTACCAGAGCGAGACAAACGTGGAGAATGTTAAGAAAGCTGCTGTAATTCATTACAATGGGCAGTCAAAGCCATGGTTGGAGATAGGGTTTGAACATCTCCGACCATTTTGGACCAAATATGTGAACAATTCTAATGACTTCATTAGGAATTGCCACATCCTGGAGTAGACTGAATCTCAAGATAGCAGAGAAGTATTGAAAGCCATCATCATATAACTTGAGCCCACTTTTTTTGGAGGCAAGATAGTTTTGTCAACTCTCTGATCTCTTTTTTCAATGAGAATGGAGCGTTATTCTTTGAGTGTTGTATTATATCCCGTCCATGTCTATTTGTTTAATTGGGTAAAATATTGTTTTCGCATTTTACCTTTTACAGCAGCTTATGGTTCTACCCGCTAGGAGGGGAACGTGAGGCATTGAAGTAAGGCTCCTGACCCTCCCCTCCCCAAAAAGCTGATGGAGGTTATTCTTTAACTTGGTTTTATTTTTAAATGTTGGCTATGGTTTCGGTCAGCATTTCTCCTCACTGTAATTGTAGTCATCAGTATGATATAATCATATAATTGTAGGTTGTGGGAACACGAAATACAGGTATATTGACCATGAATACTGGTTGAGATGATCTTTTTGTTGGGAATGCTGAGTGCTTATGAGGATCATGTTGTGAAACACTTGTACTCTTTAGATATGTCTGTTGGGAATCATCATAGATTGTATACTGTATATGCTTAACTGTTCAGCCCGCCTGGAATTCGCATCATCTGCCCTTCTCAATTACTCATGAGTTCATCGACAATGACGTATGGTCTTCCATTACTGCCCAACTAAACTCTTTCTATATACAGTTTCTATGCCCATATGAAAACATTCAATAGCAAGCATGGGTATGAAAACTTATTCTATATATATTTTGTTGGTCATTTACACTAAAAGTAGGGATGGACTCGGTTCGGGCCTTGAACTGGCCGGGCCTCGGTTCAAGGAAGGCCCGGGTAACCCCGGGTCCGGTTCGGGCCGGGTCACCCGCCTGGTTCACGGGCCGGGCCGCCCGCCGGGCCGGGCCTTTTAATTTTTTTTTTTAAATTATATATTATATTATTATAATAATTCTTATTAAAAACAAAATTCAAGTGCATTTATTTGAAATAGGAAGTACATTTGAGAATTGAGAAAAAAATAACAATATGAAATACATTTTCTAATAAATATCAATTGGGACTTCCGCCACTGTTGGTTGTTGTTTTGCCTTTGTCACATGATTTCATATGTTTTATTGGCATCCCGACTTCGTGTGAACGCCCCAAGCAACACTCTTTCTTGTACCACTTGTAAGTTGCCCACCACAGTCTGGTCTTCGGGTCCTTCCACTTATCAAAATTGTTTTGCATAAAAGAAGAATTACTTTTCATCTTTTTTTTTTATCATCAAAACAGGCCTCTCTATTCATATCAAAAGATTCAGGATCGTTACATCAAGTAAAGGGAAAATAAAACTGACACCAACTAAAACTCCAACAACTACGACTGTAACCCTATGGTGAGACTTTGAGACGGTCACCCCCGAAAGAGCAACACGAATCGCTAACCATGTAGTGGGCTTGACTCAGCCAAACCTGTTCCCATAGATCCAACCATATCCAATGACATAAAGAGAGGCTAAAAACTCAAACAAATTGTCAAAACCAACAACAAAGATGAACACAAGAAAATAAATGACAAACACATAAAAATTATTAGGAAAACTTTCACGGACTCTAGCACCTCGTACAACCCATGGTGGTTGTTCAGGCGGAGGTTGGACCGTCGCTCGATTGATACCCCCTTTCAGTGGCGTACCCGCCATATGACCCAAATTCATGTCATCGAATGGAGCGTTCAGCCTCTCCATGCTAACCATGTCCCGATCATCCCTACGTATAGGGCTGAGCCAAACCCGATCCGATCCGAAAAACCCGATATTTTTTTCGGATATTATCCGAACCGAAGTGGATATCCGACCCGAAAAACCCGAAACCGAAAATCCGATTAGTATTGGGCCTAGACCGGGTGGCGGGTAGGGTTTGTGAGATCCCGACCCGCCCGAATATCCGAAATATATGTTAGTGTGTACTTTGAATATTTAAATTAATACTTGTGTTCAATTATTTGTGTAATTATTTGTGCAATTTGTATTAAATTATTTGTGTAAATTGAATGTGTAGTGAACTAGTGTGTACAATTTTTGTTAAAGCGGCATTCCAACACTTTAACTATCCAATTATAATGTGTTTTGATATAACCAAAATATCCGAAATATATTAAATTATGTAGTGTGTACTTTGAATATGTTAAATTAATACTTGTGTTCAATTATTTGTGTAATTATTTGTGCAATTTGTGTTAAACTATTTGTGTAATTTGGAAGTTTAGTGCACTAGTATGTACAATTTTTGTCAAAGTGGCATTTAAATACTTTAATTATCCAATTATAACTTCTTTTAATATAACCGAAATATCCGAAACCCGATCCGATATCCGATAATACCCGACTTAAAAATATCCAAAATACCCGATTTGAAATACCAACGGGTTGGGCCTAGTATTTAAATTAAAAAACCCGAACGGGTTTAGGGTTCGCAAACCCGACCTGCCCGAACCCGACTCGTGCACACCCCTACCTACGTATCTCTCTCGCTTCTTCCACCATCTTCTCGCTGTCACGATCATCCATCCCGAGCTACGTCCAAACCACGACAATCCGGCGCAGAGCTGCGTCGATTGAAAGAAACGTCGCACCAGGGCGGCGAAGTAAAAACTCTACGCGAGAGATCTCGCTAGGGAAACACTGACCGAACTTCGATCAAGAAAGATCGAAATCAGAAATAACCTAGCGGCGGCTATGCCCTAGGAGGAAGTTCGTAATTCGAAATTAAAAAATGTAATACATTTTGTGATAAAAAATCAATTGGAATCTCCGCCTTCGGTGGTTGTTTCTTCCATAAAGTGGCGGGTGGGAGCGATGGTCATTTCTTGAGTTCTTCGTTGGGCCTTCAACCAATCGTGGAAGCAAACTAGCGTCTCAAGAGAGCTCGGGCTCAACCTCGTTCTATAATCGGGAACATTCTTTCATTTTCCTTCCACCACTTAAGAACGTCAAAGTCATCTCCAACTTCATAATCAACATCCAATGTTAGATACAAAGAAAGCTCGTTAACTGAGCTTTGTTCAGTAGCGGGAGTTGCTCTACTTTTTTTCAAAAGAGAACCAAATGCAGATTTTAAAAGTGATTTTCCTTTAGATGAAGAAGATGTTCGTGTCGGGGGAGGGGGTGCATTACCATAATGTGTATGAAATTCATTATACAATTGATGAAATAAATTACTAACCTCGTTGTATTCTTGTTTAGGGTCGATGGGATTATCATCGAATTTTTGAGTTGGAAAAAAAGAAGCATAATAGTAATCTATACAACTTGCCAACGAGGCAAGTTTATAACGAGGATCAAGAACAAATGCAATACCATATATATGCAGAATATGTGAATAATATTTTAAAAACTTTTGTTTCATGAAATCACAAAAATAACTAACGTAAGCGGCATCGGAAAATTATAAAAATGCGCCGGCGAGATTAACAGCTTCAACAAAAAATTCGTTTGTGGTAGGATTATAAACATGACTAAAAGTTTGAGTTGCGTTATTAAAATATACCAAAACATTAACAATTTTTCACAAGTGTCGATGTTAGCCGGGTTTATAATGCAGTTACAAGTTTGTCTTAAAAAAGCAGGAAAATGATTTTTATATCTAATAAGTACTTGAATTAAGTTATAAGTACTATTCCAATGAATAGACAAATCTTTAGGAAAAGCACAATAATTGACACGTCTTTCCTTCAAATATTGCCGCCATTGTATTTTTAGTGGAGTGCTAGCCCAAATCATTTTAATTCCCCCTTCACTACCTCCAAAGCATCTCCTAATGCCGCTAACCCATCATGTACACACAAATTTAAAATATGACATGCACAATGTTGATGAAAAAACCTACCCATCAATGTAGAAGCACCACACAATTCACGCAATCTAGGTATAGCAGCAGTATTATTACTTACTAACATTATCAAAACCTACAGCAAACACCTTATCACGCAAATTATACTCAATTAAAATACGCTCAATGAGAATATAAATATTATCAGCAGTATGACGATCATTGAATTCACGAAAAGCAAGAACATGTTTATGCATATTCCAATCATCATCAATATAATGTGCAGTAAGACCCAAATAATATAAATGATGATAAGTATCTGATGGAGTATATGGCCGAGGAACCCCCGGCCCACAAACTCCTACTAATCTATCACAGGCCCAACAAGCCCAAGGAGCATCCGAGGCCCAAATACAGTGGCCCAAGTTCAAAGAAGTCCAAGACACACACTGGGGTGCCTTCGGCCACCTTGACCGAAGGCCCCGAAACTCACAGAATAGCCTTTTTGGGCATACGAAGATATTGGGAGAAAACGGCAGAAAACAGGAGCCTTCGGCACTGCTGAGCCCTCGGCATTAGAGATGCCTTCGGCTAGTCAGGGCCTTCGACTACACGAAAGCCTTCGGCCACACGAAGCCCTCGGCTACGCGAGGAGCCTTCGGCTAAATCAAAGACCAATGACGGACGAGGTTAGCCCACACCTCATCCGAACACCATCTAGGCCTTACCCCGCTCGCTCGGGCACGCCTAAAAGTAGGACGAAGCCAGTTTGAAATCCTAGCGTTATACGCTCTAAGAATAGCGGGACCTTGGGCTTCAATCCATCGAAACCGACCCTTTATAAAAAACAAATAACTTAATTTATCTTTTATCAAATGATACGTTAATACAATTACGCAAATAAAATTCATTTTTTTTTACCTTGAATAGGTTCCACCAAACTTCACGAACCTTGGGGTCAACTTCCGTGTATGTTGCCCAGTTCCCAAGAAAGTGTCCTCCAATTATCAGTTTGATTTGGTCCAACACTTCTTGATCGCTTCAAAAAATTAATAAGACTCAATCATCGAAGATTCCCTTTGGAGACAGCCAACCACCGCATTTAATGCGACGTCACATCCACCCACCGCATTCAATGCGGTGAACATGCCACTGCCGGTGCCACCCGATTGATGTGACCCTTCGGCCATTGGATTACTGACACGTGTACTCTCATCGCATTTATAGCTGCTATAAATAGCAGCCCTTATTCTCCTTGTAAGACACGCTGAGTTCATTTAATAAAATCGACTCTCTCTCCTCCTATTTGCTCTGACTTCTCTCTAGTTATTCCCGCAATAACCCCTTGGATAAGATACCCCCGGGTACACTGTCCATCAGTATCCTCCCATATATCGCTACAAATACTAACACGTCCAGCAAAGTTTGCAAAAAATGTTTGTAATTTTTCTTTTTCGAAGTTATATTGCCTTATAACTTCTTTTTTAATCGTTTTGCGACTATAATTTCTAATTTGAGGATTTAAAGTACCATGAGCGTAATCTCTTAAAGCAAGACTTTCGGAAAAAACATAGAGTAAATTTTCTTCAACAATTAAATGAGACATACCAGTCAAATGTTTTTGATCATCATAGGAGAAATTACCAAAGAGTTGAGAATTTGCAAACCTCGATATGTGTGTTTGCTTTCCCTTGCCCTTGTCTATTTTCGCATACTCCACAAAATGGGCGGACTTAAGATGCCTTGTCAGACTCCCGTATCCGCTAGAAGTTCCCAAGCTATACTCTTTGTTGCAATGATTGCAACTTGCGTACCATTTTTCAGTATTTTTGTCTTTCCTTTTTGTAAAATTGTTTTCAATAATAGGAGATTTAGATTTCTTACCAGTTCGGGTTGAA